GGACACCACAGGAGAGGGGACACTACAGGAGGGGACACCACAGGAGAGGGACACCACAGGAGAGGGGACACTACAGGGAGGGGACACTACAGGAGAGGGGACACCCACAGGAGAGGGGACACCACAGGAGAGGGGACACTACAGGAGAGGGGACACCACAGGAGAGGGGACACCACAGGAGAGGGGACACTACAGGAGAGGGGACACTACAGGAGAGGGGACACCACAGGAGAGGGGGCACCACAGGAGAGGGGACACCACAGGAGAGGGACACCGACAGGGGAGGGGACACTACAGGAGAGGGACATCTACAGGAGAGGGGACCACTACAGGAGAGGGGACACCACAGGAGAGGGGACACCACAGGAGAGGGGACATACAGGGAGGGGACACTACAGGGAGGGGACACCACAGGGAGGGGACACTCACAGGAGAGGGGACACTACAGGAGAGGGGACACTACAGGAGAGGGGACATACAGTGAGAGGGGACACTACAGGAGAGGGACACTACAGGGAGGGGACACCACAGGAGAGGGGACACTACAGGAGAGGGGACACCACAGGAGAGGGGACACCACAGGAGAGGGGACACTACAGGGAGGGGACACCACAGGGAGGGGACACTACAGGAGAGGGGACACCACAGGAGAGGGGACACTACAGGAGAGGGGACACCACAGGAGAGGGGACACCACAGGAGAGGGGACACTACAGGAGAGGGGACACCACAGGAGAGGGGACACCACAGGAGAGGGGACACCACAGGAGAGGGGACACCACAGGAGAGGGGACACCACAGGGAGGGGACACTACAGGAGAGGGGACACTACAGGAGAGGGGACACTACAGGAGAGGGGACACCACAGGAGAGGGGACACCACAGGAGAGGGGACACTACAGGAGAGGGGACACCACAGGAGAGGGGACACCACAGGAGAGGGGACACCACAGGAGAGGGGACACCACAGGAGAGGGGACACCACAGGAGAGGGGACACTACAGGGAGGGGACACTACAGGGAGGGGACACCACAGGGAGGGGACACTACAGGAGAGGGGACACTACAGGAGAGGGGACACCACAGGAGAGGGGACACTACAGGAGAGGGGACACTACAGGAGAGGGGACACTACAGGAGAGGGGACACTACAGGAGAGGGGACACTACAGGGAGGGGACACCACAGGGAGGGGACACTACAGGAGAGGGGACACTACAGGAGAGGGGACACTACAGGAGAGGGGACACCACAGGAGAGGGGACACTACAGGAGAGGGGACACCACAGGAGAGGGGACACTACAGGAGAGGGGACACTACAGGAGAGGGGACACTACAGGAGAGGGGACACCACAGGAGAGGGGACACTACAGGAGAGGGGACACTACAGGAGAGGGGACACTACAGGAGAGGGGACACTACAGGAGAGGGGACACTACAGGAGAGGGGACACTACAGGAGAGGGGACACTACAGGAGAGGGGACACTACAGGAGAGGGGACACTACAGGAGAGGGGACACCACAGGAGAGGGGACACCACAGGAGAGGGGACACCACAGGCAGAGGGGGACCCTACAGGAGAGGGGACACTAACAGGAGAGGGGACACTACAGGAAGAGGGGACACTACGGAGAGGGGACACTACAGGAGAGGGGACACTACAGGAGAGGGGACACTACAGGAGAGGGGACACTACAGGAGAGGGGACACCACAGGAGAGGGGACACCACAGGAGAGGGGACACCACAGGGAGGGTCTGTGTATCTAACATGTTCACCTCCACAGAGTGCATGTTCTCCTCACAGAGTGCATGTTCTCCTCACAGAGAGCATGTTCTCCTCACAGAGAGCATGTTTCTCCTCACAGAGTGCATGTTCTCCTCACAGAGTGCATGTTCTCCTCACAGAGAGCATGTTCTCCTCACAGAGAGCATGTTCTCCTCACAGAGAGCATGTTCTCCTCACAGAGTGCATGTTCTCCTCACAGAGTGCATGTTCTCCTCACAGAGAGCATGTTCTCCTCACAGAGAGCATGTTCTCCTCACAGAGTGCATGTTCTCCTCACAGAGTGCATGTTCTCCTCACAGAGTGCATGTTCTCCTCCACAGAGTGCATGTTCTCCTCACAGAGTGCATGTTCTCCTCACAGAGTGCATGTTCTCCTCACAGAGTGCATGTTCTCCTCACAGAGTGCATGTTCTCCTCACAGAGTGCATGTTCTCCTCACAGAGTGCATGTTCTCCTCACAGAGAGCATGTTCTCCTCACAGAGAGCATGTTCTCCTCACAGAGAGCATGTTCTCCTCACAGAGTGCATGTTCTCCTCACAGAGTGCATGTTCTCCTCACAGAGTGCATGTTCTCCTCACAGAGTGCATGTTCTCCTCACAGAGTGCATGTTCTCCTCACAGAGTGCATGTTCTCCTCACAGAGAGCATGTTCTCCTCACAGAGTGCATGTTCTCCTCACAGAGTGCATGTTCTCCTCACAGAGTGCATGTTCTCCTCACAGAGAGCATGTTCTCCTCACAGAGTGCATGTTCTCCTCACAGAGTGCATGTTCTCCTCACAGAGTGCATGTTCTCCTCACAGAGAGCATGTTCTCCTCACCAGCTCAGCAGCGATGGTTAAGCAGGGACAGTGCTTCTTGGTGAGCTTCACCTTCACAGCTTTAGCGTTCTGCACCGTCTTCAGAGCGCGGGACAGATTCTCCGGAGTCACCTCCAGACAGATCTCGTTATCCTCCGGGGAGACGCCCTCCATCTGGAACTCATCGAAGAAGTTCTCCTGCAGCAGGAGGAGGAGGAGGAGGAGGAGGAGGAGGAGGAGGAGGAGGAGGAGGAGGGAATAAAGGGTTATAATTATTCATATTAATATTATCATGTATTTATTTCAACAAGGACCGTGCATACAAATACATTCATCTCAGAAAAGAGAAGAGATGAAGGATGCAGTCCTGAGGGAGGTAACAATCAACAAACACTACACACATTGCATCGTCTCCATCACACTAACAAGTATAAAACATGATCTAAGTACAGCTCAATAAAGTAATACATAGTACAGTTAAAATATAATATGACAATACACTTAAAGGCAGGGTAGGTCAGTTTGAGAAACCAGCTTGAGTGCGCTAGAATCTGAAAGTACGCAACCGAAAACAATCTGCCCCTTCCTTCAGACTTCCTCACAGAGCCCCTCCTCCAACACACACGAACGCGCACATGACCAATGAGGGCACCAGATCAGTTTGTGCCCAGATGGAAGGCTGACAGGCAGGTAGGCCATCCAGTTACTTTAGCCGGGCCGGCTCAGATGATTGGTCGTGCTTTTTACAGAACTACAGCTTCCACAGATGATATTTATTATGGATTTATTGTCAAAGCACTTCAGATATTCATTGCTATCAGGATGTTAAGAGCATTCCATGGAATATAACAACAAGTGTATCTGAAGTGAATTACCTACCCCACCTTTAACGAGGATTCCAGTTTCACCTAAAGGTCTCCTATTATACTGTTTCAGGCGTATATTATAGGTCCCATGTATGTTCCAAACCACATGAAGGATTCTCTCTGAAACAGCATGGAGCTCAAACTCTTTCTCTCTCTCAGGTTTACCTCAAGGTGACTTCCTTTTGATTTCCTGCTTCTTCACACATGCTCTCTCCAGTACAGGTTAGCTCTGAGTGTTAGCATGCTAATGTAAACACAGACCATATTACTTCCAGAACACGTCTCATTGTTTCTGACAGCAACGTTTCTGATTGGCCCGTGGGTGTAAAGCCCGCCCACATTTTAGTAATGTGGTCATGACGCAGCAAATCTGGATTAGCTCCGTTGTTCCCCCGTTTTTAGAGATGTGGGTACGGAGGAAAAGAGAGAGGGGTTTATTTCCTGACACTTTGAGAGTCTCCTGACACACGGGGGACACACCGGGGGGACACACCGGGGGGGGACACCGGAGACACACACCGGACACACACACCGGGGACACACCGGAGACACACACCGGGGACACACGGGGGGACACACCGGGGGGACACACCGGGGGGACACACCGGAGACACACACCGGAGACACACCGGGGACACATGGTGATGTAGAGAAGACATCAGATGCGGCTTTCACACCAGCGCTTTTCCCTTTCTAGCTCCTAGCGAGAGCTTTTCTGGTTCAGCTCCGGTTTCCCTTTTCAGCTCCCGCTCTGTTCACACCGCCCAGAGCTGCGTCATGACGTCACAGTTTACATCACTGATTTTCTCCCACAACAACAACGGGCCGGGGACTGCGTCGGGTCGATGATCGTGTTGCTTTTAATCATACGAAGCCAGATTAAATGAAATAACGACTTCTCCAACCTTATACTTTTCTCCAGAGTGCCGTGGTTCATTGTTTATTAATGTGTTTCATTTACCGACCGCTGCAGTGCTGCTCTTCAACGGGAGTTTATTCTCCCGTTAGCTCCGGGTTAGCTCACACGGCTCTAAAGTATTCACTGTCTGACTGTCACACAAGCAGCTGATACATATCCCCAGTTCCCCTGAAGTGAATGTGTGTCAGTCTGAATTGACGCTGTTTGGCATCACAACGCTGTTATGAAAGTTTCTCTGGTATAACATGGGTGATGTTAGCATAGCAACCGAAGCTAAACTGACTACTTGCTAAGCCGTTTTCTACAGGCACTTTTTACCGGCGTATTTTTCATTATGATTCTACTTGTGATAGTCGGACATGACAACCTGTGCAGCCCATGTATTGATTCCATCCGATAGCTGCTATAATAACAAACGTCTGCCTGCTCTCCACAATGATCAATAACAGAGAACGGATGGTCAAAGTAAGGTACAAATAAACAGAATCACACGAAGCCTGGTTAGTGTTGCCTGACTTTATAAAGTGTGTTTCTTTATAAGTGTGTGGTTGCCTTCTAGTCACTTTGCTCAGCGCTACTGCTTGTAGGCAGGCATGACGAGACTCTTCAGTCGACCCATGTTCAGGGGACGTGGGTTTAGTTTCATGCACGCCTCGACGTAAGAGAGACGTAAGCGACGCCGCGTCATAGCTCCGAAGCTCTTGCCTCTCGACCGACAATTTTTTGGAGCTGGAAGTGAACCGGATTCCGGAGCTAAGAGGCGGCGCGCTGCGGTGTGAACAGGAAAAAACGGTACTTTTCAGCTCCTGCTCCGAGCCGGAGCTGAAAAAGCGCCGGTGTGAAAGGGGCAAGAGAGTGACTTTTGCATGATAGGAGACCTTTAAGTTACAGATGATACTGAGGACGTCTCACTGCATGTTAATAATGAAGTCTGTAATCACCTGAGAGAGTTCACACCACATGCTCACGCCGCCATTTGCAACTTTTCCAGAGAGGACGAAGAAAAGGTTTTGTGGAGTCAGACGAAGAACACACATCTTCGTCAGCTTGGAGATGGTGGTGATCACACCTGATGAGGAGGAGGAGGAGGAGGAAGAGATACTCAGCAAAACACTAAGCAGAATGCTCCATATAATGCATTAAAACTGATGTTTATTGGCATTAATTTGTAGTTTTATTAAAAAATAAGGAGACAGAGTGTTATATTTACACTAAATTCACGTTGTAAAACACAATTAAATTCCCCTTAGCGTTTATCTCGCTACTAATTCCTCAATACTGTTTTATAAAGAACTGAAAAAAGTCACTAAATTACACAAAAACATTTCAAACTATCAGTTAGCATCAGTTAGCATGTTAGCTCCACACTCTTCCGGTAAGATAAAGCTACTTACGGGTGAAATGGTTCAGACACGCCACGTCTATAATCTTCCCTCTGAACTTCATCTCTAATTAAAGCAGTTACTTTCAGTCTGAAGACAGACAAAGTGTTTTTAATCCGTTTTTAGTTTCAGGAGAATATTTTATTTTTAAGCGAACCGCGTTTGTTTTTGTCCTTCCGCGTCAGAGGTCCGACCGGAAACAACAGCCAGCGTCAAAGGTTCCGGGGGGATTTAAACCAATAAACAGCGTTTGGAAGTTTAATAAACAAGAATAAAAATGAACTAAAATTAATATTAAACTCAACAAACTCTAAACAAAATTTCCATGTGAAAAATATATAAATATCTGCACAGCTTCAATTTTTGAGAAAGAATGCACATATTTTACTTATTATTCCTAATATTTTATCATACTATATTTTACGTAATTTTATTTTGGTATGTTTATATTTAATGTAAATATTTCTCTAAATTTTACGGTAATAATAGTTATTTTTTAAATAGTTTTAAATATTTGTTTTACATTCTTTGGTCCTTTTCTTACCTTTTCTTTTCTTTAATAACGGTGTTTGTGTACGCCTCAAAACTCCACACATGGAGAACCTACTTGTTAATAAACCTGGTTCTGATTCTGATCAAGGCACTGGTTTGTAGAAAGGAGAAGGGGATCATTTCATATCCTTTTAATGATATGTATTAACTTGTTATGACTGAGCAGAGTTCCCCTCAGACAGCCGGAGCAGCAGATGTTCTCTGAAGGATTCCTGTGTAATAACTCGGTGTAAAGTGACACTAACAGCTGACCTCAGATCAGCACATGGTCCCTGAACACACCGCACAGTTAAAGGCTCGACTGGTAAAACTCTCCTTTAGTTTTACTGGGAAACTCAAACCATACATGAACTCATTAATCCATGACTTCATTATTTCTGCGTCTGCTGCTCCTTCAACTCAGAGGTAAATAATCCACCTTCTACTCGACTACATGTGATTTAGTTGCTGTGGAGTTCAGATTAAAACTTAAAAGATGTTAGAGAAATCAATGCAATAGTGAAAGTACTTCAGGAATAATTAAAATAATATGATATAAAGCTCTTGTTTGCCTATAAATACAACTTTACACTGTTATTAGATGCATTTACGATGTATTATTTCATAGGAAGGTAATAGGAGGATTCATTCATCGCACATTGTCTGTGTCAGGTTTTATAATTTAAAGTATAAATACAGTTTGGTTATCCATGCACCAGTGACGTCTGACACTTTTCACTCGACTAAAACGTAATGAAGGGAGTCTCTGTGTGGAGACATGTTGGAATAGTGAAAGTATAATGAAATAATACGATCTCTAGTCCCAGAGGAGCTCTTCTCGCCAATTGAAATCCAACTTTACACTGTTATTAGATTGACTCTGAGGAGGATAGGAGGAGGTTTCTAATGTGCTGCACGCACAGAGGAGAGGGACTCAATATATTCCATCTTTCCTCAATTTCCCCCAAAAAATCCCAAATATTCGTAATTTTTTTTAACAATCTTTCTTTGATATTCCAATTGTTTTATTTTTCATTTTGAATTCTATTGTATTTTGTTGTATAACCTACTTTGTCTCAATATAGTCCAACTTTCTCTCTCATAATATATTCCCTCTGTTCCTCAAATGTTTCGGTATGCTCCAATCAGAACAAAGAGATGTTTTCTGCTGAGTCCAACAGACTGTATGTGAGGGGGGGGTCAGCTGAAGGGGGACGTGATTAACTGTCGCACACTGGCTCCATGCTGCAGGAGGACTGACTGAGCTCCACAGAGAGAGAAGAAGAAATATATATTAAATAATACTAACTAAAGCAGAAGATGAGGGAGATCGTCCACCTTCAGGCCGGGCAGTGCGGGAACCAGATCGGGACCAAGGTGAGCAAATAACACATCATTATTTCAAACATGTTTTTGAATTCAACGTGCGATCGTTTGTGGTTCTTCTGCTCTGGAACTGCTTCACCTTTGAATCCTGTGAAATGCTCACACGACAAAACACGACATCATTTTGCTTTAAATCCAAAGGTTTCCACGTTGTTGGATTTCAATCTTAAAATAAAGGAAAACAAACGTTGGATCAACAATTTATAAAACACATATCTGGCTTCACGAGTTACAATGTGAGGATTAAGATGATTTGACCTCTCTTAAGGTACCTTCATCTTTTGACCAAATGTTCCCTCTCTCTCCTCCTCTCTCTCTCCTCCTCTCTCTCTCCTCCTCCTCTTCCTCTCTCTCCTCCTCTTCCTCTCTCTCCTCCTCTTCCTCTCTCTCCTCCTCTTCCTCTCTCTCCTCCTCCTCCTCAGTTTTGGGAGGTGATAAGTGATGAACACGGTATTGATCCGTCAGGATGTTTTGTTGGAGATTCGTCTCTTCAACTCGACCGAATCAACGTTTACTACAACGAGGCTTCCTGTGAGTAAAGTGTGTGTGTGTGTGTGTGTGTGTGTGTGTGTGTGTGTGAGTGTGTGTGTGTGTGTGAGTGTGCGTGTGCGTGTGCGTGTGCGTGTGAGTGTGAGTGTGTGCGTGCGTGCGTGCGTGCGAGCGTGCGTGCGTGCGTGCGTGTGCGTGTGAGTGTGTGTGTGTGTGTGTGAGTGTGTGTGTGTGTGTGAGTGTGCGTGTGCGTGTGCGTGTGCGTGTGAGTGTGAGTGTGTGCGTGCGTGCGTGCGTGCGAGCGTGCGTGCGTGCGTGCGTGCGTGTGAGTGTGTGTGTGTGTGTGAGTGTGCGTGTGCGTGTGCGTGTGCGTGTGAGTGTGTGTGTGTGCGTGCGTGCGTGCGTGCGAGCGTGCGTGCGTGCGTGCGTGCGTGCGAGTGTGTGTGTGTGCGTGCGTGCGTGCGTGCGTGCGTGCGTGCGTGCGTGCGTGCGTGCGTGCGTGCGTGCGTGCGTGCGTGCGTGCGTGCGTGCGTGCGTGCGTGTGTGTGTGTGTGTGTGTGTGTGTGTGTGTGTGTGTGTGTGTGTGTGTGTGCTTCAGGATAGAAGAAGTTTGGGATATTAAGAAAAATAAATCTGGATATTTGATTATTTTTAATAAAAGGTACGTTTTTGGATAATTTGAGGAAAAGAGGGAAATATATTATGAAAGAACAATATGGAATATATTGGGGAAATGTAGGTCATACAACAAAATACAATAGTATACAAAATAAAATAATTAGAATATTTCAAAAAATAGTTTTAAAAATCAAGAATATTTGGGTTTTTTGGGTAAAATTGAGATAAAATGAAGAAAATGAAAATAAAAAACTCCTAAATTAGAATGTTCTGGAAGTGTTCCTTCCACTCGTCTGAAGACCCTCTCCTCTGTGTGTGCAGCACATAAATACGTCCCCCGCGCTGTGCTGGTGGATCTGGAACCAGGAACCATGGACAGCGTTCGCTCCGGAGCCTTCGGACAACTCTTCAGACCGGACAACTTCATCTTCGGTAAACAAACAAACACCTGATTCACAAACAAAAACAAGAGGGTTAAAACAGAGACTGTCATGTTAGATATAACATATATATATATTTATAGATATAAAGGGTTAAAAACACAAGAATCGCTTCAGAGACGAGAGAAACACAAACAGAGCAAAATAACAGAATGATGAGAAATGTGCTTGTAATTTCCTGCGCTCTGATTGGCCGCTGCAGGTCATACGGGGGCGGGGAATAATTGGGCCAAAGGTCACTACACGGAGGGGGCGGAGCTAGTGGACTCAGTGCTGGACATCGTGAGGAAAGAGAGCGAGAGCTGTGATTGTTTACAGGTGAGGAGAAAATAAACAACAACAATAAATAAATAAAACATGTATGTTCCTTGTGTGACCTGTGACCCTAACCCTTCTCCGCGCAGGGCTTCCAGCTAACCCATTCCCTGGGGGGGGGCACGGGGTCGGGGATGGGAACGCTGCTGATCAGTAAAATCAGGGAGGAGTATCCGGACCGGATCATGAACACCTTCAGCGTCATGCCCTCACCCAAGGTGCCTCATCATCACATGGTTTAGCTCAGAGTCATGCCCTCACCCAAGGTGCCTCATCATCACATGGTTTAGCTCAGTGTCATGCCCTCACCCAAGGTGCCTCATCATCACATGGTTTAGCTCAGTGTCATGTCCTCACCCAAGGTGCCTCATCATCACATGGTTTAGCTCAGTGTCATGTCCTCACCCAAGGTGCCTCATCATCACATGGTTTAGCTCAGTGTCATGCCCTCACCCAAGGTGCCTCATCATCACATGGTTTAGCTCAGTGTCATGTCCTCACCCAAGGTGCCTCATCATCACATGGTTTAGCTCAGTGTCATGCCCTCACCCAAGGTGCCTCATCATCACATGGTTTAGCTCAGCCTCATGCCCTCACCCAAGGTGCCTCATCATCACATGGTTTAGCTCAGCGTCATGCCCTCACCCAAGGTGCCTCATCATCACATGGTTTAGCTCAGCGTCATGCCCTCACCCAAGGTGCCTCATCATCACATGGTTTAGCTCAGTGTCATGCCCTCACCCAAGGTGCCTCATCATCACATGGTTTAGCTCAGTGTCATGTCCTCACCCAAGGTGCCTCATCATCACATGGTTTAGCTCAGTGTCATGCCCTCACCCAAGGTGCCTCATCATCACATGGTTTAGCTCAGTGTCATGCCCTCACCCAAGGTGCCTCATCATCACATGGTTTAGCTCAGCCTCATGCCCTCACCCAAGGTGCCTCATCATCACATGGTTTAGCTCAGCCTCATGCCCTCACCCAAGGTGCCTCATCATCACATGGTTTAGCTCAGCGTCATGCCCTCACCCAAGGTGCCTCATCATCACATGGTTTAGCTCAGTGTCATGCCCTCACCCAAGGTGCCTCATCATCACATGGTTTAGCTCAGTGTCATGCCCTCACCCAAGGTGCCTCATCATCACATGGTTTAGCTCAGTGTCATGCCCTCACCCAAGGTGCCTCATCATCACATGGTTTAGCTCAGCCTCATGCCCTCACCCAAGGTGCCTCATCATCACATGGTTTAGCTCAGAGTCATGCCCTCACCCAAGGTGCCTCATTTCATTATCACACGATTTAGGTCTTTCTGATTTATCTGCATTTAAAAATGTAGTTTGTAAAAAAAAATCTGAATTTTCTTTTTATGAATTTTTTTTTAATGACATTTTCTGACTTCAAAGTCTCATAATGCTGACTTATATTCAGGACTTATAATGCTAACTTATATAAGTGTTTAAGGACTCATAATGCTAACTTATATGCAGGACTCATAATGCTAACTTATATTCAGGACTCATAATGCTAACTTATATGCAGGACTCATAATGCTAACTTATATTCAGGACTCATAATGCTAACTTATATCAGGGTTTAAGGACTCATAATGCTGACTCATAATGCTAACTCATATCAGGGATTCAGGACTCATAGTGCTAACTTATATCAGGGTTTAGGACTCATAATGCTGGGTTTTAGAACCCAAAGTGCTAACTCATATTTAAGACTCTTAATGCTGACTTATATCAGGGTTTTAAGACTCATAATGCTGACTTATTACTTGTCACGGATTCAGAACTCATAATGCTGACTTATATGACTTATATCAGGTTGTTAAGACTAATAACGCTGACCTATATCATGGATCCATGACTCAAAATGCTGACTCATCTCCTGATTCAATGCTAACTCATGCCAGGGTTTAGGATACATCATTTAATGCCTTCATTTGGTTTTAGCTGCTGTGCATATGACAATAAAACCTTTGAATCTTGAATTTGAATTGAATAATGCTGACTCATATCATGGGTTCATGACTCATAATGGTGACTCATAATGCTAACTCATTCCCCAGGTGTCTGACACGGTGGTGGAGCCCTACAACGCCACGCTCTCTGTGCACCAGCTGGTGGAAAACACGGACGAGACGTACTGCATCGACAACGAGGCGCTGTACGACATCTGCTTCCGGACGCTAAAGCTAACGACGCCGACTTACGGAGATTTGAACCACTTAGTTTCCGCGACGATGAGCGGAGTGACGACTTCGTTAAGATTTCCCGGCCAATTGAACGCCGACCTACGAAAACTAGCCGTGAACATGGTGCCGTTTCCCAGAATGCACTTCTTCATGCCGGGTTTCGCGCCGCTAACGTCTCGCGGGAGCCAGCAGTACCGAGCGCTAACGGTCCCTGAACTCACCGCGCAGATGTTTGATGCCAGAAACATGATGGCGGCGTGCGATCCGAGGCACGGGAGATATCTGACGGTGGCGGCCATCTTTAGAGGGAAGATGTCCATGAAGGAGGTCGACGAGCAGATGCTGAACATCCAGAACAAAAACAGCAGCCTCTTCGTGGAGTGGATCCCCAACAACGTCAAGGTGGTGCTAATATTTTGTTATAATTATGATTATTATTATTGTTTGTTTCTAACATGTTCAATAAATTGACTAATAATAATAAGATTGTTTTACACACGATTTAAGATGCTAACCTGCATATGTTGTGTTAATTGCGGTTAATACGCATAAATTAGCGTTAATTAGCATACATTAGCGTTGATTAGCGTCAATTAGCGTTAATAAGCATCAATTAGACAACAGTTAAAAAATTGCTTGGTCAATTTAGACAATTTAGGAGTGGTTTTGGGGGTTATCGAGGATGTCGAGTCCATTTCTGACATTCTCACTATCAAAAATTGTAGTTTTGACCCAAAATGAAACCAAACCAGTTCCTGGAAGTACAAATATGGCATTTTTTTTAATTCACACTACCATCTATGATCCTGAAAATGTCATAAATGGACTCAACATCCTCAATAACCCCGAAAACCACTCCAAAACTGTCTTAATCTGCAATGCCATTTTAAAACTATTGTCCACATAGGCTAACGTGCTAATTAATGCTAATTAACGCAAGATGTTAGGATGCAAAATGTGCATACTTGTTGTCGTCTGTTTGTCTCTTTGCAGCTGCTTTTCCTCCAGGTGTGGAACTCACTGTTTGAACTGTATATAACGCTTAATGATCTCTTTGTAAATTGAAGGTGGCCGTGTGCGACATCGCGCCTCGAGGACTCAAAATGGCGTCCACGTTCATCGGGAACAGCACAGCGATCCAGGAGCTCTTCAAGAGGATTTCTGAGCAGTTTTCGGCGATGTTTCGCAGGAAAGCGTTCCTTCACTGGTTCACCGGGGAGGGGATGGACGAGATGGAGTTCACGGAGGCCGAGAGCAACATGAACGACCTGGTGGCCGAATACCAACAATATCAAGAGGCCAACATCAGCGAGGAGGAGCACGACTTCCACAGCGAGGAGGAGGAGGAGGAGAACCACGAGGAAGAGTAAGAGGAATATACTCAAAGTGGAGATCTTTAGATAAATGAAAGATTTATTTCTCCTAAATCGGGAAAATGCATCGTGGCAGGAAATATACTTTAAAGGTCTCCTATTATACTATTTTTAGGCGTAGATTAGAGGTCTCAGATATAAAAAACACGTCTCCTAAGGATGCCACTTGGTAAGGAGGTAAGGATGCCACTTTGTAAGGAGGTAAGGATGCCACTTGGTAAGGAGGTAAGGATGCCACTTGGTAAGGAGGTAAGGATGCCACTTGGTAAGGAGGTAAGGATGCCACTTGGTAAGGAGGTAAGGATGCCACTTGGTAAGGAGGTAAGGATGCCACTTGGTAAGGAGGTAAGGATGCCACTTGGTAAGGAGGTAAGGATGCCACTTGGTAAATTACAGAGTAAATCAATCTAATCTGTAAAGTTGTATTTAGGCGAACAAGAGCTCCTCTGGGACTTTAGATCATATTATTTTAAATAGTCCTTTCTCTATTGCACCGACCTTTCCAACATTTATTACGTTTTAATCACAAAAAGAGCAACTTCATTGCATCACAACAAAAGGACTTTCATTTTCATGAACAACGCCAGAGGAGGACCAAATAATTAAAGGTGGGGTAGGTCAGTTTGAGAAACCAGCTCGAGATCGCTAGAATCTGAAAATACACAGCCGGAGAAAATCTGCCACTTCCTCACAGAGCCCCTCCTCCAACACACACGAACGCGCACATGACCAATGAGGGCACCAGATAAGTTTGTGCACAGATGGAAGGCTGACAGGCAGGTAGGCCATCCAGTTATTTTAGCCGGGCCGGCTCAGATGATTGGTCGTGCTGTTTACAGTACTACAGCTTCCACAGATGATATTTATTATGGATTTATTGTCAAAGCACTTCAGATATTCATTGCTATCTGGATGTTAAGAGCATTCCATGGAATATAACAACAAGTGTTTCTGAAGTGAAATACCTACCCCACCTTTAACAATAATTATAATAATAAGAGCGTCGGGAAAATGCATCGTGGGAGGATATATACTCGAAGTGTAGATGTTTTGATAAATACAATTATTATTTCTCCTAAATTGACACATTTTATCTGAGAAATAATGTCAATCAATATCTGCCTATTATATAAATATAAATAAAACAACAACAGGTTGACTTGTTGCTCGGGATGTTTTAAACAAAATAAAAACACATCAAATTGGCGCCCAGCTGGATCCTTCCAAATCTAAAGAGCTTCATTTTGACTTTCCAGCGCAGTCATTTTTGATATTTTTGATAAATTCAAGATTTATTTCTCCTAAATTTCCACATTTTATTTGAGAAATACTTGTTTCCAAAATAAACTGCACAAAATGTCAAAGATGCTTCAGGTTTTTTAACTTTAGGGGATTAAATATGTTAAAATGTTAAGATTTATCATTTTACTCATTATGTGTTTAGAAAAGCTTTATTTGTATCAGTTCTTGCAGCTTTGAATGGATTTAGACCCTCAGAGTACTCAGAGGTGTTAGTCAGCTGATGGACCCCCTGGTGATGCCTCAGAGGTGTTAGTCAGCTGATGGACCCCCTGGTGATGCCTCAGAGTATTCAGAGGTGTTAGTCAGCTGATGGACCCCCTGGTGATGCCTCAGAGTATTCAGAGGTGTTAGTCAGCTGATGGACCCCCTGGTGATGCCTCAGAGTACTCAGAGGTGTTAGTCAGCTGATGGACCCCCTGGTGATGCCTCAGAATACTCAGAGGTGTTAGTCAGCTGATGGACCCCCTGCTGATGCCTCAGAGGTGTTAGTCAGCTGATGGACCCCCTGCTGATGCCTCAGAGTATTCAGAGGTGTTAGTCAGCTGATGGACCCCCTGCTGATGCCTCAGAGTACTCAGAGGTGTTAGTCAGCTGATGGACCCCCTGCTGATGCCTCAGAGTACTCAGAGGTGTTAGTCAGCTGATTGACCCCCTGCTGATGCCTCAGAGTACTCAGAGGTGTTAGTCAGCTGATGGACCCCCTGCTGATGCCTCAGAGTACTCAGAGGTGTTAGTCAGCTGATGGACCCCCTGCTGATGCCTCAGAGTACTCAGAGGTGTTAGTCAGCTGATGGACCCCCTGGTGATGCCTCAGAGGTGTTAGTCAGCTGATGGACCCCCTGCTGATGCCTCAGAGGTGTTAGTCAGCTGATGGACCCCCTGGTGATGCCTCAGAGTACTCAGAGGTGTTAGTCAGCTGATTGACCCCCTGCTGATGCCTCAGAGGTGTTAGTCAGCTGATGGACCCCCTGCTGATGCCTCAGAGGTGTTAGTCAGCTGATGGACCCCCTGCTGATGCCTCAGAGGTGTTAGTCAGCTGATGGACCCCCTGGTGATGCCTCAGAGTACTCAGAGGTGTTAGTCAGCTGATTGACCCCCTGCTGATGCCTCAGAGGTGTTAGTCAGCTGATGGACCCCCTGGTGATGCCTCAGAGTATTCAGAGGTGTTAGTCAGCTGATTGACCCCCTGGTGATGCCTCAGAGGTGTTAGTCAGCTGATGGACCCCCTGCTGATGCCTCAGAGTATTCAGAGGTGTTAGTCAGCTGATGGACCCCCTGGTGATGCCTCAGAGTACTCAGAGGTGTTAGTCAGCTGATGGACCCCCTGCTGATGCCTCAGAGGTGTTAGTCAGCTGATGGACCCCCTGCTGATGCCTCAGAGGTGTTAGTCAGCTGATGGACCCCCTGCTGATGCCTCAGAGTACTCAGAGGTGTTAGTCAGCTGATGGACCCCCTGGTGATGCCTCAGAGTACTCAGAGGTGTTAGTCAGCTGATGGACCCCCTGGTGAAGCCTCAGAATACTCAGAGGTGTTAGTCAGCTGATGGACCCCCTGGTGAAGCCTCAGAGTACTCAGAGGTGTTAGTCAGCTGATGGACCCCCTGGTGATGCCTCAGAATACTCAGAGGTGTTTAGTCAGCTGATGGGACCCCCTGGTGAGGGCCTCAGAGTACTCAGAGGTGTTAGTCAGCTGATGGACCCCCTGGTGAAGCCTCAGAGTACTCAGAGGTGTTAGTCAGCTGATGGACCCCCCTGGTGAAGCCTCAGAGTACTCAGAGGTGTTAGTCAGCTGATGGACCCCCTGGTGAAGCCTCAGAGTACTCAGAGGTGTTAGTCAGCTGATGGACCCCCTGGTGAAGCCTCAGAGTACTCAGAGGTGTTAGTCAGCTGATGGACCCCCTGGTGATGCCTCAGAGTACTCAGAGGTGTTAGTCAGCTGATGGACCCCCTGGTGATGCCTCAGAGTACTCAGAGGTGTTAGTTAGCTGATGGACCCCCTGGTGATGCCTCAGAGTACTCAGAGGTGTTAGTCAGCTGATGGACCCCCTGGTGATGCCTCAGAGTACTCAGAGGTGTTAGTCAGCTGATTGACCCCCTGGTGATGCCTCAGAGTACTCAGAGGTGTTAGTCAGCTGATGGACCCCCTGCTGATGCCTCAGAGTACTCAGAGGTGTTAGTCAGCTGATGGACCCCCTGGTGAAGCCTCAGAGGTGTTAGTCAGCTGATTGACCCCCTGCTGATGCCTCAGAGGTGTTAGTCAGCTGATTGACCCCCTGCTGATGCCTCAGAGGTGTTAGTCAGCTGATGGACCCCCTGCTGATGCCTCAGAATACTCAGAGGTGTTAGTCAGCTGATGGACCCCCTGCTGATGCCTCAGAGTACTCAGAGGTGTTAGTCAGCTGATGGACCCCCTGCTGATGCCTCAGAGTACTCAGAGGTGTTAATCAGCTGAATGCAAACTGAACGCCGGGATCAGAGCGTTAATCTGAGCGATTCTGGACAAAAGGAGACTCAGCACTTTGTTTGTGTCGAGGATTATCTGCAGACAGAAAACGCTTCGCTCAGGTCGGTCAGGAATCCACTCTGCATGAGAACACTCTCATTGAACGAGATTACACAGAGGTCTACATCCCCTGAATTCAATCAATTGTTCCATTTTCAGAGGAAAACACAGTCAAATCTGAAAAGTTCTACATTTTCTTTACTTGAAAGACAAATTCCAGGTTTATAAAAGCATCGAAACCAAAAATAGCATTAAAAAAATCTATGTTTGTGCTTTTTTTCTGTTATTTAGACTTAGAGCATCCATGGAGCTCAAATGTTAGAAAACAAGCCATTTAAAAATTGTAATCTGCCAAATAGACCTGAGAAAAGCAAGAATGAACCCTTTATATCATTAGGGGTCATTGTGGAGGTCTCTCTGCATCCATTTGAACAGTTTTCTCTGTTGTTGTTGTTGTTCCCACAGCAGCTGGCACGCAGAGCGGGAGTTTGACGAGCCAATCAGAGAGCAGGAGGACGGTTTTAGTCCAATCAACTGACGGCAGAGGCGGACATGTCAACAACTAAATGTTTTTCTGGTTTCATGAAGAGTTTTTGATGATTTTGAATGAAAAGTAGGATTATTAGGTAGGTTATTTCCACTTTCCACTTCGAACGCTTTATCTCTCGAACTGGATGTACTTTGTTTTGCCAATAAACTGGATGTACTTTGTTTTGCCAATAAACTGGATGTACTTTGTTTTGCCAATAAATCACAACGTCAATACATTTTCATTGATCAGTGTTCATTTGGGTGGAAAAGTCTACTATTTACACATAAATAACAATATTATAAACATGTATTTATAACATAACATGATTGTTTTAAATGTCTACAGTTTTAGACTAAACACTAAAATATATTCAGCATTGTTTGAGAATTAAAACCCCCAAAATTGTTATTAATTGTTATTTAAAGAGACTTTTGATTAACCCACATGACATATATATATTGTGAGTCTAACATATGTTAATATAAGAGCAGAGGAAATATAGAAAACATTATTAAATATCATAATAAATATGAAACCTCCTGTACCTGCAGGAGCAGCCACTAGGCGGCGCTGCAACGCAATTAAAAACCACCTGAGAAACATCACAGATAAATATGATATTACTTTATAAATATAAAGTAATGAGCTCAGCCTTAAGACATATTTAGTCTTTAATAATAACTTCACTCTTTTTGCAGCATTTTGTATTTATTTGGCTCTTTTGTCGTCTTTATCTGGGGACATATTGGTCTTTATCGGGGGACATATTGGTCTTTATCTGGGGACATATTGGTCTTTATCGGGGGACACAATGGTCTTTATCTGGGGACATATTGGTCTTTATCGGGGGACACAATGGTCTTTATCTGGGGACATATTGGTCTTTATCTGGGGACATATTGGTCTTTATCTGGGGACATATTGGTCTTTATCGGGGGACATATTGGTCTTTATCTGGGGACATATTGGTCTTTATCTGGGGACATATTGGTCTTTATCTGGGGACATATTGGTCTTTATCTGGGGACATATTGGTCTTTATCGGGGGACATATTGGTCTTTATCTGGGGACATATTGGTCTTTATCGGGGGACACAATGGTCTTTATCTGGGGACATATTGGTCTTTATCGGGGGACACAATGGTCTTTATCTGGGACATATTGGTCTTTATCTGGGGACATGGTCTTTATCTGGGGGACATATTGGTCTTTATCTGGGGACATATTGGTCTTTATCTGGGACATTTGGTCTTTATCTGGGGACATATTGGTCTTTATCTGGGGAACATATTGGTCTTTATCTGGGGACATATTGGTCTTTATCTGGGGACATATTGGTCTTTATCGGGGGACACATTGGTCTTTATCTGGGGACATATTGGTCTTTATCTGGGGACACATTGGTCTTTATCTGGGGACATATTGGTCTTTATCGGGGGACACATTGGTCTTTATCTGGGGACATATTGGTCTTTATCTGGGGACATATTGGTCTTTATCTGGGGACACATTGGTCTTTATCTGGGGACATATTGGTCTTTATCTGGGGACACATTGGTCTTTATCTGGGGACATATTGGTCTTTATCTGGGGACATATTGGTCTTTATCTGGGGACATATTGGTCTTTATCTGGGGACACATTGGTCTTTATCTGGGGACATATTGGTCTTTATCTGGGGACATATTGGTCTTTATCTGGGGACATATTGGTCTTTATCTGGGGACATATTGGTCTTTATCTGGGGACACATTGGTCTTTATCTGGGGACATATTGGTCTTTATCTGGGGACACATTGGTCTTTATCTGGGGACACATTGGTCTTTATCTGGGGACACATTGGTCTTTATCTGGGGACATATTGGTCTTTATCTGGGGACATATTGGTCTTTATCTGGGGACATATTGGTCTTTATCGGGGGACACATTGGTCTTTATCTGGGGACATATTGGTCTTTATCTGGGGACATATTGGTCTTTATCTGGGGACATATTGGTCTTTATCTGGGGACATATTGGTCTTTATCTGGGGACACATTGGTCTTTATCTGGGGACATATTGGTCTTTATCTGGGGACACATTGGTCTTTATCTGGGGACACATTGGTCTTTATCTGGGGACACAATGGTCTTTATCGGGGGACACATTGGTCTTTATCTGGGGACATATTGGTCTTTATCTGGGGACATATTGGTCTTTATCTGGGGACATATTGGTCTTTATCTGGGGACATATTGGTCTTTATCTGGGGACATATTGGTCTTTATCGGGGGACATATTGGTCTTTATCTGGGGACATATTGGTCTTTATCTGGGGACACATTGGTCTTTATCTGGGGACATATTGGTCTTTATCTGGGGACATATTGGGGACATATTGGGGACATATTGGTCTTTATCTGGGGACATATTGGTCTTTATCTGGGGACATATTGGTCTTTATCTGGGGACATATTGGTCTTTATCTGGGGACATATTGGTCTTTATCTGGGGACATATTGGTCTTTATCTGGGGACACATTGGTCTTTATCTGGGACATATTGGTCTTTATCTGGGGACACATTGGTCTTTATCTGGGGACACATTGGTCTTTATCTGGGGACATATTGGGGACATATTGGGGACATATTGGTCTTTATCTGGGGACATATTGGGGACATATTGGGGACATATTGGTCTTTATCTGGGGACATATTGGTCTTTATCTGGGGACATATTGGGGACATATTGGGGACATATTGGTCTTTATCTGGGGACATATTGGTCTTTATCTGGGGACATATTGGTCTTTATCTGGGGACATATTGGTCTTTATCGGGGGACATATTGGTCTTTATCTGGGGACATATTGGTCTTTATCTGGGGACATATTGGTCTTATCGGGGGACACATTGGTCTTTATCGGGGGACATATTGGTCTTTATCTGGGGACATATTGGTCTTTATCTGGGGACACATTGGTCTTTATCTGGGGACATATTGGGGACATATTGGGGACATATTGGTCTTTATCTGGGGACATATTGGTCTTTATCTGGGGACATATTGGGGACATATTGGGGACATATTGGTCTTTATCTGGGGACATATTGGGGACATATTGGGGACATATTGGTCTTTATCTGGGGACATATTGGTCTTTATCTGGGGACATATTGGTCTTTATCTGGGGACATATTGGGGACATATTGGGGACATATTGGTCTTTATCTGGGGACATATTGGGGACATATTGGGGACATATTGGTCTTTATCTGGGGACCTATTGGTCTTTATCTGGGACATATTGGGGACATATTGGGGGACATATTGGTCTTTATCTGGGGACATATTGGTCTTTATCTGGGGACATATTGGTCTTTATCGGGGGACATATTGGTCTTTATCGGGGGACATATTGGTCTTTATCTGGGGACATATTGGTCTTTATCTGGGGACATATTGGTCTTTATCGGGGGACACATTGGTCTTTATCGGGGGACATATTGGTCTTTATCTGGGGACATATTGGTCTTTATCTGGGGACACATTGGTCTTTATCTGGGGACATATTGGTCTTTATCTGGGGACATATTGGGGACATATTGGGGACATATTGGTCTTTATCTGGGACATATTGGTCTTTATCTGGGGACATATTGGGGACATATTGGTCTTTATCTGGGGACATATTGGTCTTTATCTGGGGACATATTGGTCTTTATCTGGGGACATATTGGTCTTTATCGGGGGACATATTGGTCTTTATCTGGGGACATATTGGGGGACATATTGGTCTTTATCTGGGGACATATTGGGGACATATTGGTCTTTATCTGGGGGACATATTGGTCTTTATCTGGGGACATATTGGTCTTTATCTGGGGACATATTGGTCTTTATCTGGGGACATATTGGTCTTTATCTGGGGACATATTGGTCTTTATCTGGGGACACATTGGTCTTTATCTGGGGACACATTGGTCTTTATCTGGGGACACATTGGTCTTTATCTGGGGACATATTGGTCTTTATCTGGGACACATTGGTCTTTTATCTGGGGACATATTGGGGACATATTGGGGACATATTGGTCTTTATCTGGGGACATATTGGTCTTTATCTGGGGACACATTGGTCTTTATCGGGGGACATATTGGTCTTTATCTGGGGACATATTGGTCTTTATCTGGGGACACATTGGTCTTTATCTGGGACACATTGGTCTTTATCTGGGGACAACATTGGTCTTTATCTGGGGACATATTGGTCTTTATCTGGGGACACATGGGTCTTTAATCTGGGGACATATTGGGGACATATTGGGGACATATTGGTCTTTATCTGGGGACATATTGGTCTTTATCTGGGGACATATTGGTCTTTATCTGGGGACATATTGGTCTTTATCTGGGGACACATTGGTCTTTATCTGGGGACATATTGGTCTTTATCTGGGGGACACATTGGTCTTATCTGGGGACATATTGGTCTTTATCTGGGGACATATTGGTCTTTATCTGGGGACATATTGGTCTTTATCTGGGGACACATTGGTCTTTATCTGGGGACATATTGGTCTTTATCTGGGGACATATTGGTCTTTATCTGGGGACATATTGGTCTTTATCTGGGGACATATTGGTCTTTATCTGGGGACACATTGGTCTTTATCTGGGGACATATTGGTCTTTATCTGGGGACACATTGGTCTTTATTCTGGGGACACATTGGTCTTTATCTGGGGACACATTGGTCTTTATCTGGGGACATATTGGTCTTTATCTGGGGGACATATTGGTCTTTATCTGGGGACATATTGGTCTTTATCGGGGGACACATTGGGTCTTTATCTGGGGACATATTGGGTCTTTATCTGGGGACATATTGGTCTTTATCTGGGGACATATTGGTCTTTATCTGGGGACATATTGGTCTTTATCTGGGGACACATTGGTCTTTATCTGGGGACATATTGGTCTTTATCTGGGGACACATTGGTCTTTATCTGGGGACACATTGGTCTTTATCTGGGGACACAATGGTCTTTATCGGGGGACACATTGGTCTTTATCTGGGGACATATTGGTCTTTATCTGGGGACATATTGGTCTTTATCTGGGGACATATTGGTCTTTATCTGGGGACATATT